TTTCTTTTGGTTAATGTTTACCTGGCAAATCTTTCTTTGTCATCTCTCTCTCTTTTTTTTTAAGATTTATTTTATTTTACTTAAAAGGTAGAGCAGCCAAGAGAGGGAGGGACAGAGAGAAAGAGATATTTCATCTGCTAGTTCACTCCCCAGATGGTTGGGCCGGATCAGAAGCAGAGCAACTGGGACTTGAGCCGGTGCTCCTATGGGATGCCTACATTGCAGGCAGCAGCTTAACCCGCTGTGCCACAACACCAGCCTCTCTTTGTTCTTTCATTTTCATCCTATCTGGGGCCTTATATGATGGGTGATAGACTTCAGAGGTTAATAAGGGTGTAGGCTCCCTCGGACTCTGCATCCACAGGTTCAATCAACGTGTTGATCACAGGAGGCCTCACTGAGAACGTCACCTGAGCCAACACCTGGGGGACCAGGTGTGTGGGTAACCGTGATGCTCCCGGCAGATGGAACGTGACTGCCAGACACCTCCTTAGGGCCCCTGTCTCCTACACGTGCGTGAGACCAGACAAAGACTTTTCAAGGGAAAAACGCTCCAGATGCTGTGAGAGTACGGCTCAGCCCTCGTTCTAGACATTGTGGCTGCTCACTGCCCTGCGCGCTGTCCCCTGAGCTCTCAGATTCCCGTCCCAGGCATCTATGACAGCAAACCTGGCCCCACCTTTTCTATTTCTGCCCCTTATTCACAGCTGTATTCCTTACGCGCCGTTTCTTCCACTGCCTTAGTCAGGGCCTCGTGGTATTTGCTTAAATAAACAAATCCATCATGAAAACCATCTGGAAGACTTGGCCCTTCTCGTTGGCTGCTGACAAATGTGCAGTTTCCTAAGGTACTTAATGTTTTTTAAAAGATTGATTTATTTATCCAAAAGGCAGGATGACAGGGTGGGGGGAGGGAGTAAAAGACAGCAGATAGAGAAAGATCTTCCATCTGCTGGTTCATTCCCCAGATGGTTGAAACAGCTGGAGCTGGGCCGATCTGAAGCCAGGAGCCAGGAGCTTCTTTCAGGTCTCCCATGCAGGTGCAGGGGCCCAACCTCTTGGGCCACCTGCTGCTGCTTTCCCAGGCGCATTAGCAGGGAGCTGGATCAGAAGTGGAGCAGCTGGGACTTAAACCAGATACTCCTAGATGACATTGCAAGCTATGGCTTAACCCACTCCACCACACCACACCAGCCTCTAAAGTACCGAATTTTAAAAGCATGCCCTTACTGCCTTGCACTGAACTCTCAGTGTTCCTTGCACATTTCTTCAGAGAGCAACCTAAATTCTTTGACTCTCCTCTCATGTCACCACCTGTCAGAGGCTCCCCTAGCGCTCCTGGGGACCTCCATGTGAGGGACAAATCAATACACAGCTTCTGTGCCAGGGCCTGAGGGCAGCTGCATGAGCGAGGCCTGGCTTCCCCAGGATGAGTGTAGGACGTACCGGCTTGGTCAGGGGTCGCCCCAGCACTGCCGCTGCTCTGCGCTTCAGGGCAGCCCTGGGACAAGGTGGTCCTTTGAGAGCACCCCTTGGTCCACTGGGCGCTGCTCTGGCATTGACCCTGCTGCAGGGACACTGTAGGGAAGGGACAGAGAAAACCCATCTTGCCACCCATCTTCCCAAAGTCTTGGTGGGTAAAGAGGAAAGAACCGGTTAAATGGTGCATGGCTTCCATTCCTGAGGATGCCAGTGCTGTGTTCTGATGTGGAACCGCAGTGTCACAGTCCTGCAAGCTCTCTGTCATAGTCTCCCTAACGGAGTATCTCCACCCCAGCCTGGAGCCTGGCTGCCAGCATGCAGCGAGCCACCAGAGAACCAGATGTGTTTGGCAGAACTGTGCATGTGTTTGGCTTGAATTTCATGGGATTCTTTCATTCCACTCAGTGATAGATCCCCACATTATTTCGCTATTTGTCCTTCCTGAAACACATCAGGTCGCGTGGATGCAGTGGGCGGCACAGCCTGCACAGCCCTGGCACCTTAGCGTTTGCTGCTGCTCACACAACACCACAGCCTGGGTAATCTATGAACAGCAAATCTCTATCGCACTCTTGGTTCTGGAGGCTGGGAAGTCTCTGCAGTTCAAGGCAGAGAAAGGAAATCAGGACCAACTGAGCTTTTGAACAAACCTCACCATAGCTGACCCACCCCTGTGGTAATCGCATTAACCCACTTGTGAGGGCAGGGTCCTCATGACCTAATCACCTCCGCAAGGGCTTCCCCCTCTTAATATTCTTACAATTTCTTTTTTTTTAAATTTGTTTTTATTTTTTGACAGGCAGACTGGACAGTGAGAGAGAGAGACAGAGAGAAAGGTCTTCCTTTGCCGTTGGTTCGCCCTCAATGGCCACCGCGGCCCGCGCGCTGTGGCCGGCGCACCACGCTGATCCGATGGCAGGAGCCAGGTACTTATCCTGGTCTCCCATGGGGTGCAGGGCCCAAGGACTTGGGCCATCCTCCATTGCCCTCCCTGGCCACAGCAGAGAGCTGGCCTGGAAGAGGGGCAACCGGGACAGATTCCGGCGCCCCGACCGGGACTAGAACCCGGTGTGGCGGCGCTGCTAGGCGGAGGATTAGCCTAGTGAGCTGCAGCGCCGGCAATATTCTTACAATTTCAACAGAAGTTTGCCAGGGGATATTCAAATAATAGGATCTGGGCTCACCACCACATGCCTTCTTGCGAGTGGATGTCCCATCTGAGAAGCACAGGTGACAGAAAAAATCCTGGGTCTGGGAGTCAGAAGGTTCTGCTACACATGCTAGCGACCTTGGGTGGTCATCTCATGACTTTGGACCTCAGTTTGCTCATCTATGCAATGGGAATGCTGAGCAAGGTGATCTGGATCCTCTCCAGCTTGAGCGTCCTGGGTCCCAGCATTCTATGCACAGCCCTTGGCTGCAGTGTGTTAACTTGGGAAGATCTTTCCATCAGAACCAGTTTTTTTTTTTAGTACAGTAATGACATTTTTAGTGAAGTCAGTGGAAAATAGCTTTAGTTACTTCTGTTTTAAAATTTTTTAACAGGGAAAAATAATATTATATTCTTATTTTTAAAAAGCCTCAGGTTCTAGCAACCTGGCATTCATGCTAGAATAACACAACCCCATGCTTTGCATCAGGCCTGAGCACTGGCGTCCTTGCAGTCTGAGACAATGAGGCCGCAGCCTGGCTCTGCATCCCTTCCTCCAGAGAGCATCAGATAAATTCCTCGTGTCTCACCAGTCTCTTGCCCGTGGGAAAACAAGGAGTGAGACTTGAGCAGAAAAGACTTGCTGAGGTTTGAATGGAGCTTGTCTTAGAGCAAGGAGTAGGAGCAAGTGGGTCTCCTGACTCTGTGTTTGAAATTCTTTCACTTGGTGCAGGAATGGAAGTCCCATCACCGAAGCCCCCCTGACACAATGAGATCATGTAGGCGGAAGCTCTTGGAAATTGTTAGGCTCTGTAGAAACATCTAGTACCAATAGCAGTAGACTTTCACACGCAAAATGAAGTGTCTAAACTGCTACCTTGGTCAACTATAAACCATCTCTTTCTTTCTCCTGCACCTATTCCTGCTTGCTGTGTTTGGGTTGGCACACACGTAGTCTCTTCCCCTTCAAACGGGTGAGTTTAACTAAAAACATTAAACATCATCAAGTAGACATGTCTTGCTGGCAGAAAACAACAAAAAGCAAGGCGCCCCGTTGGGTGCACAGCCCCCTGAGGACACGGGGCCAGTTACGACCAAAGTAGAATCATGTTCACCGTGCAGCTTCAGTAGACGTGAAGCGCCTTGGCTCTTGAGCACGAAGTGGAAGGTGGTTGTCTTGGCCTGGGGCCTTGGCCCGTCCAGGATGCCTAGTTTAAAACGTGTTTTGCACCCTTGATGGAAGATGTGAGCAAATGAGACGATTTGGCCTTCCCACTCAGCCACCACCAGCTTCTTGCAAATGACTGTTGCCAGGTGTCGCCCTGGCAAGACTGAACCATTAATCATGACAAATGGAGCTGCAGGTAATTAAGTATATAATTTTGAACTGTTCGAGTGAAATTCCATACAAAGCCCATGACGAAACTGGAAATTATGTAGAATTACTGGCACAAGGAGTCGGGTTGTGAATACAGTCTTTCACTAACACTTGATTCCCATCCAATACTTGTTTCCCATCCAATACTCGTTTGCCGAGCGTGTGAAGTTTCTTTGTGGGCTAGGACTCGTGTTGTGTTTGCAGGTATGGCTTTATGATTGGGAAAGCCCAGTCACATGTTTTTGGATTATAAAGGGAGTCTGGGATCCCAGGAAGGGAGATCAGTAGGACTCAGTACAGGGGCAGGAAGCAGTGTCCAGGGAGCTGGAGGGACAGCTGACTGCATAGGTTGCCCCTGCCTAGGGCAGCAAATAGATCAGAGCCAGGTGTCGGGGTGAGGCCAGCCCATCTAGGGTGGCCCAGATCAGCCTGGTGCAGGGAGCCCTCCTGTTGGATGCTGGCAGCTGTGAGAGATTGTTGTCCTGCTGCCCTCCAGGCTCTCTCAGGCTGGAGTGGTCCTGGGACTCAGGGAAGGGCCAGCAGTGGGCAGGCCTGACCCTAAGGGATCCTGGACTTGGAACCAAAGTCGTCCCAAAGGCAGTGCCCAGAAGCACAGCTGGAGGATGGGCCGTGGACAAGTGTGGGCAACGTGGCTAGAAGAAAGCAACAGGGGAGCGAGAGAAAGCTGGGGAGCTGGAGTAGTGTTTGAGGCATGCAGAGATTCCTTGTGGTCCAGAGTGAAGTCACTGAGCTGAAGCTTCCCTGGGAAGCCAGCAGCCGTGAGTCTGAGCAGAGAGGAAGCCGTTAGGGATGCTCTGCCGCTCTGGACGCTGGCAGCGGGGGAGCCTGAGCCCTGTGGATTTCCAGAAAGCGTCACCTCACAACACAGGGGTCTGGGGAGCAGGAGCTGACGGGGGCAAGAGAGTCACAGGGCCGGGCAGGAACCAAACCATGGCACCCCATGGCTGAAGATCAAGGAAATTCCTTCCGTGTCCTAAATCGGCTCAGTACCACCCCCCTAGGCTCCCATAGACTCACCCTACTTCCTGCCGTGGCCACCTCTGGCCTGGATGGTGGCCGTAGCCCCTCCCGGCTCTCCATATCCACCAGGGACCCTAGCATCCATTTTCAGATGAAGGCCAGGGTACCTCGGGAAATAGCGAGTCTGATCACATCACCACTGCGCTGAAAACTTTTCTCTGGCTTGGACCATTCCTGGCTCCCTCCCCAGCTGTGTGCTGTCCAACCCCTGTCTCCCTACAGCCTCCCCTCTATCCCTCAAAGCTTGCTGGGAATATTTCCCCTTACCCAGGGCTCCCCTTTCTGACCCTTGGGGATCCATCACCTCGGGGCTGTTCCTCTCCCTGCAGTGCCTATGGTGGCCATCGGGAAGCCGGGAACATCAGTGTGGGGACACGGCCAGGCTGCAGCTGCGGGTCACTGCTCTGTCCCTCATGCAGTGTGTGTGCCCTGGCCAGATAGATGCACTGGGGAGGATTGTCCTTGCAGGGCTGTGGTACTCGGCAGCAGGGGACCAAACTCCTGACCCACGCTGCAAGGTGGACGAACCGCCAAATCCTTAGCCAGAGGAAAAGCAGGACACAAGACGACATGGCATGTGATTCTGGTCTATAGGGAATTCTCAATGTTTCGAAGGGAGCTCCAGGGACCCAAGGGAGACCGGGGGAGGGTGCAGGGGGTGAAGTGTGTAGGGCAGGAGCCACACAGCAGCACCATGTGCGTCTTGGTGGTGACGTCCAAGCCCCTCAAATTGTACGCTCTTTCAAAAGTATTTATTTATTTAATTACCTTCATTTTATTTGAAAGGCAGAGAGACAGAAAGAGAGAGAGACAGAAAGAGAGAGAGAGAGAGAGAGAGAGCTCTTTCATCCTCTGGTTCATTCCCCCAAATGCCTGCAACAGCCAGGGCAGGAGTAGGCCCACGCCAACACTCTGATATGGGATGTGGGCGCCCCAAGTGGTGTCAAACGTTAGTCCCAAAGCGTACGCTTTAAGCCAGTACAGCTGGAGCAGGCTCTTGATGCAGCTGTCGAGATTCCCCTCGGATGCTGCACCCCACACCAGAGGTCTCAGTTCCACTTCCAATTCCAGCTCCCCACTAACGCACGCCCTGGAAGAGTAGAGGATGATGGCTCAAGTATTTCAGCCAGGCTGAAGCGAGCCAGCACATGAAAGACTAAAGAACTCTTTCTGTCTCTTTCCACTCCTCTCTACCCCTCTCCACCCCTCCCCACCCTGCTCTCTGCTTTTCAAATAAAATAAAAATTAAAAAAAAAAATGCAAGGGAGTGCAGCTTACTACACACAGACTATACACAAAGTTGATTAATTTTGTAAATTTTAAGTGTCTGCAAATTGCATAAGTCATGCCAGTGACACAACTCATTATCTCCATTATGACTAGATCTGGCCCAGTGATAGCAACCCCTACCTGCTCCCCCATATGGAGTCCCGGTGTGCCAAGCCCTGTGCCTGGTGCCTTACATTATTCAGTCACTTCTCAGCCCTCTGGGGGGATGTCCCAGATGTTCTGAACACTGCCCCCATGTGCACCCGTCTCCATCTCTGCAGGCCAGACTTAGCCTGGAACTGGAACCCATGGGACAGGGTGCACCCAAGGCGGGGCTAACAGGATCCTCTTCCTTTTGAGTCTGCCTGTGTCCTGCCACCTGTGCCTCCCAGAGAACTGAGCTGGTCCTCTGCAAGGTAACCTGAAGCTGGTAGCAGCCAGAACACAGGGAACTGCATGCGATGACAGAGACAGGAACAGGCACTGCATCGTGAATTTCCCAGGCCTTCATGGGCAGGGGACATGGAACAGCCTGGGGACCCTCTGCTTCCCTCAGGACCTCCACTAGCCTACGCGGGGCCCCAGGAGCTGCCCATGTCCCCCTTGGAGTTTCTGTTCCTGAGTCAAATTGGCTCTGATCAGGTAGGTATACGTAGCTCCATTTTACAGGTGAGGAAATCAGGATTTAAGAAAGCTGAAAGACTTGTTCAAGATCATGCAGCGGATTCGTATTTAGGTTTGGTCTTCCCTGGTACCTCCATAGCCCAAAGGGATAAAGCCAAGGGGGACCACAATGGTTCCCAGGTGCCCTTCTCTGAGCCAGCAGCTGCCTCAGCAAGGCCTCGGAGGAGGCAGAATGGCAGGGAGGCAGGTGCATGTTCCCCCGCAAGTCCTCACTCGCAGGATGCTCGCTTGGCTGAGTTTAGATGAAATAATGCGTGTATGGGCCTGGCATCCCATACACACCCATTAAGTACTCATGTAGGAAAAATTAAAAGAGGAAGAGATCGCAAACTGTACAGCTGAGGTTTAAATAAGGGGCACAGGAGAACTGAAAATTATTATGTAAGAGGCCCTGGCTAGCAGGAAGTGGTGTAATTTAGTGGTAAAAGTGGCTCTGTCTTGATGTGAAAGCGAAAATGGTTCTAATTGTCTGATTAAAGGATTACCCCATTTATTCAAAGAAATACTTTCCTGTCATTAACTCTAACAGGGATGTGTTGTTAAGGCTCCTTTTAAGTGACTGTGAACAATATAATGAACAGTGTTTTAAAAAGTGGTGTCAAAAAATTTTCAGAAATGGTCATCCATCCATCCAGTGGTTATAGCAAAGCTTGATCAGAGTTTAAACTCCCTGGGGAGGTATACTTTCATAGAAGATATAGCTCAAATTTAAAAACCACTGTCCAGGAATATCCTACATATTGCCCATACGATGCAGAGGGGCTGCAGGAAGGGGACTTATAACCCTGGTGGGAGTTTCCCTTAAAGCTGCATTTTTTTTAAGGAGTTGATGGCAGTTGCTGTTACCTGGGAGACCGGCTTCCAGCAGACCAGCTGAAAAGGCTGTCACTCACTCCCTCTCAGGAGATGGAAGGTCTGGCTGCCCCACTCCTCTGAGTGGCCTTCCGGCTGCATTTTAGCTGGCTGGTTAGTTCTGAGGCCTTGGGGAGCAGAACACAGCAGGCAAGGGCTGGGAAATTGCTGGGGAAGGAGCTCTTCCCATTCAGAGGCAGGTCTGGGTGGCCACCGCCCCACCCCCAGTGCTGGGCTCTCATTGCCAAGGTCAGTGAGTACTACCTCCAGGAGCTATAAAACAAACCTGAGTCTTGGGCCCATTCCTAGGGCTTCTGATGTAACTGGCCCGAGAAGGAAAGCTGGGAGCAAGATGTTTCAATGTGCAGCTGAGGATGAGAAGCACTGCAAAGCGATGAAGGCGTAACCACCAGCCCCGTCCGCTGTGAAGCAGGCTGTCGCTAAAACAGCAAACGCAGGACTGGAAGAGCAGGGAAAAGGTTTTGTAAAGTCAGAATTGATTTTCATTCTATCCCTAGAAAAGGAATTAATTCTGGCAGTGCTCACAAGTCCATTTTTTTTTTTCCTTTAAAAGAAAAAAGGATGAGGGGCCTGTGCTGTGGCGTAGCAGGTAAAGCCTCTGCCTGTGACACTACGGTCCTACGTGGGGCTGATTCATGTCTGGCTGCTGCACTTCTGATCGAGCTCCCTGCTGATGGCCTGGGAAAATCAGCAGAAGATGGTGCCAGTGCTTGAGCCCCTGCCGCCCACATGGGAGAACTGGATGAAGTTTCTGACTCCTGGCTCGGACCTGGCCCAACCCCAGCCATGGCAGCCATCTGGGGAATTAGCCAGGGATAGAAATCTCTCTGTGTCTCTCCCTCTCTCTCTGTAACTCTGACTTTCAAATAAATAAATAAATATTTCAAAAATAAGAGAGAACATAAGCATCTCACCTAAGACACAGATTCAGGGCAGAGTTCCAGCTAGCTTGGCAACTGCTTCCCTCCAAGTTCTAGGGGTACTTTTATAGACGAAGACGCCTGTCTTGTGAAGTAGCCACACCAGAGTGTGTGCTTTGAGTGGCATTTGCAGAGTTTTATACGCTCATGTTGTTGACAAAAAGTTTCCAAGATCTGGAAATATGGCCAAGGGGATGACAAGTACATGTTCCCAAAGTCACATGGAGGCTTCTTCAGCATCCAACACAAGGTTACCCTCATTTCTGGGAGCGCAGACTATCGTTTGTCCTTGACACCTGATTCAGGGCTCAAATCTGCTAAGTTCGCATAGGAGACATCCAGTAGAGATGCAAACGACTCCTATCCAGTTAAAAGAGAACCTACTGATCCATTGCCCTGTAGCTCATTAGCCAGATTTGTCGCAAACGTTGGAAATCTATTTTAGTGTACCTTTCCCAGTGGACTATACAAGCATAAATCCTGGTACTTCAAATGCCATTTGAACCAGCGTTGGGGACTCCTTAACTGATGAGCTGAATAAAATCAAGAGCATGTGTTCATTCTATTTTGTTTGGAGCCTTTGTTTAATTTCCCCCAGAATTTCTTATGGATAGCACTGACCCAGCCCTTCTCCTGCCCACCACCTCCCCCACCTGATGTGAGTGAGAAGAAAGGCCCAGGGGAGGGGTGGGGGAGGCCCTGCGAGGCATCCTACTGGCCCAGGTTGAATCCACTGCCAGCAGCCAGTGCCCTCCCTTGAGCCAAGCTCCAGTGCTCAAAAGGGCCTGGTTTATGCATGAAACCCGGAGAGGGGTATCAGACTCAGCAAGCCTGGCCTCTCAGAAGCACAGCCTAGCACTGATCATCAGGCAAGGACCCAAGACTGGGGGATCCAGGCCCATCAAAGCTATCTGGGATGACTGGCGACTTCCTGTCCCTCAAACCCAGCAGTCCCACTGTAACTTTTGTGATACAGCCCCACCCAAGAGGACGCATACTTTTTGTATGCTAATGTCCTGGGGTTTCCCAGATAGTCTCAGGGTGCTGGGGTCAGGGAGAGCTGCCAGGGGAACCTACCTTGTGATTAAAGGGTTGGAACTATCAGCCTTGCTACCTCTGGGGAGGGGAGAGGCTGGAGGTTGAGTCATTCACCAGTGGCCAATAACATGATCAACCGTGCCCGTGTAATGGAACACAGTCCCAGCTGGGTAGGGTTCTGAGGGATTGGGGCTGGTGAACGTGTGAGGGAAGGTGACGCACCTGTGCCGGGCACGGGAACTCCGAGCCTCTTCCCCCAGCCCTGGCCCTGTGCATCACTCTCTTCCTTGTGTAAACCGGAAATCCAGCAAGTTAACTGTTTCTTGGAGTTCCGTGAACCACCTTAGCACGTGATCAAACCTGAGAACGAGGTCGTGCAATGTTCAAGCATGTTGCAGCCACGCGCAATTGATGTCTGAAGCTGGGCTAGTTTGTGAGGTTCAGGCCTCAGCCTGTGGGATCTGTGCAAATTACAGGTAGTGTTTGAATTGAATTGAATTGAATTGAATGCCACTGAGCTGGAGAATTGGTCAGTGTGGGAAGACCCCACATTTGTGTCACAAGTGCTCTGTGCGGAGAGGGGTCATATGACAGCAGGAGGAAGGCTTGTGCCTTCCTGTTACCCTCCTGCCCTGAAGACTCAGGATTTGCAGCCCAGGAAGCAGGGAAACCCTGACAAGCACGTCTCTCTCTGCTCCTGGTCCTACACTGATGAGCAGGGGCCAGGGTGGGTGTTCTGAGTTCATTTGACTTAGCCCATAATGGGGCTTCACTGACAGAGTCCAAAGCCCAGAGTAGAGTAATAAAAGCTTTCCCACTCCTACCAAATAACTTACTATAAATTGATCTTGCCACAAGGTAACGAAAGTGATAGCAGAAATGGTGTGCATAAAAACTGACCAAGTCTCCAGACAGCAATTTGCTGGTACCTGGCCAGGGCTCTCCTGGTCCCAGGGATTCTAATTCTAAAAAGCTATCCTGGAGGGCAGCACTGCAGCCCAGTAGATTAGTCCTCTGCCTGCAATGCCGGCATCCCATATAGGCTCTGGTTCGAGTCCCGGCTGCTCCACTTCCGATTCAGCTCTCTGCTATGGCCTGGGAAAGCAGTGGAAGATGGCCCAAGCACTTGGACTTCTGCACGCATGTGGGAGACTTGGAAGAATCTCCTGGCTCCTGGCTTTGGATCGGCTCAGCTCTGGCCATTGCGGCCACCTAGGGAGTGAACCAGCGGATGGAAGACTTTTCGCTTTGTCTATCCCTTTCACTGTCTATAACTATACCTCTCAAATAAATAAATAAAATCTTAAAAAAAAAAAAAGTGATCCTGGGGCTGGTGTTGTGGCACAGTGGGTTAAGCTGCCACCAGTGACACCGGTATCCTATATTGGAGTGCTGCTTCGAGTCCTGGCTGCTCCACTTTTGACTCAGCTCCCTGCTTATGCGTCTGGGAAAGCACCAGGAAGGCGGTCCAGCTGCTTGGATTCTCGCCATCCATGTGAGAGACTTGGATGCAGTTCCTGGCTTCTGGCCCAGCCCTTACTGTTGCAGCCATTTAGGGAGTAAACCAGCAATGGAAGATCTCCTTGTCTTTCTACCCCTGCCCCTGTCACTCTGTCTTTCAAATAAATAAAATAAATCTAAAAAGAAGAAGCAGGCCGGCGCAGTGGCTCACTAGGCTAATCCTCCACCTGCAGCACCGGCATACCGGGTTCTAGTCCCAGTTGGGGCGCCGGATTCTGTCCCGGTTGCCCCTCTTCCAGTCCAGCTCTCTGCTGTGGCCCAGGAAGGCAGTGGAGGGTTGCCCAAGTGCTTGGGCCCTGAACCCTCATGGGAGACCAGGAGGAAGCACCTGGCTCCTGGCTTCAGATTGGCGCAGTGTGCCAGCCTTAGCGACCGTTAGGGGAGTGAACCAATGGAACGAAGACCTTTCTCTCTGTCTCTCTCTCTCTCACTATCTAACTCTGCCTGTCCAGAAAAAAAAAAAGAAGAAGAAGAAGAAGCAAAAGCAGCAACAGCAGCTTTCCTAAGAAAACTACCATAAAGGAAGTTAAACAATGCTGTATAAAGGTAGTTATTAGAGTGTCAATTATTACAAAATTCAGAAAAAGCCAAAATGGTCAACAATAGAAAATTAATTAAATAAAGGATGCCCAGCCAGAGAGCAGAATGACTGATAACCATTAACATTTAAAAGCAATAATTGCTAGTAATTGTTGTACAGAAATACAGAAGTCCTGCTCTATCCACAAACAAGTCGTTCCAAGACCCCCAGGAGATACCTGAGACTCCAGGGAGTGCAGAAGCCGAGCACACAGCACGTTTTTCCCCGTGCGTGTATACACACTTACGAGAAAACTTAACTGATGAACTAGGCACAGTAAGAGATCAACAACAATACCTATAATAAAACAGAACAATGATAATAATACGTGGTAATGAAAGTTATGCGAGTGTGGTCTCTCAACAGCTATGTGCTCTGGACAAAGGGATAATTTTTGTGTCGGGCAGGAAGGAGTGGGAAGGGGTAAGATTTTCTCATGCTACTCAGAATAGCAACTTAAAACTTATGAATTGTTTGTTTCTAGAATTTTCCATAAATATATTTGAGCCGTGAACAACTATAGGCAACTGGAACCATGGAAAGTGAGACTATGGAGAAGGGGTTACTACATATTTTCTCTAAAAAAAAAAAAGCTCAGCATATAAATTTGCATATATGTAAGATGATTCCAATCTCCTGAAAAAGTTTAAATGTGTATAAAAAAATGAATGGAGGGGCCAGTGTCATGGCACAGCAGGTTAAGCGCTGCTTGTGGCATCGGCACGCCCCATCAAGAGTGCTGGCTCTTGTCCCTGCCGCCCCGCTTCTGATCCAGCTCCCTGCTAATGCAACTGGGAAAGCAGCAGAAAATGGCCCAAGTACTTGGGCACCTGCCACCCACTTGGGAGACCCGAATGGAGTTCCAGATTCCTGGTTCTGGCCTGATCCTGCCCTGGCTGTTGTGGCCATTTGGAGAGTGAACCACGGTGGAAGACTCTCTCTCCGCTGTAACTTTGCCTTTCAAATAAATAAATAAGAGAGACAGAGAGAGGGAGGGAGGGAAGGAAGGAAGGGAGGGAGGGAAGGAATGTGGGGCCGGCGCTGTGGTGCAGTGGGTTAATGCCCTGGCCTGAAGCACCAGCATCCTATATAGGCACCAGTTTGAGACCCGGCTGCTTCACTTCTGAGCCAGCTCTCTGCTATGGCCTAGGAAAGAAGTAGAAGACGGCCCAAGTCCTTGGGCTCCTGCACCCACATGGGAGGCCCAGAAGAAGCTCCTGGCTCCTGGCTCCTGGCTTCAGATTGGCACAGCTCTGGTCATTGCAGCCAATTGGGGAATGAACCACCAGATGGAAGACATCTCTCTCTCTCTCTCTCTCTCTCTCTCTCTCTCTCTCTGCCTCTCCTCTCTCTGTGAACTCTGCCTTTCAAATAAATAAA